CGGGTGGGTGCAATTCCCGTCTCCCGACTCCCAGGCCATTGCTCCTCTCAGACCCCTCTCCTCCGCTCAGGGATGGGTGGGGAGGGGAGGCAGGGAACACGAGGCTCACACGGTGGCTGGAAGACCACCCTGTTTATTCCTCACACTCAGCATAAAGTGTGGGCTGTGCTTGGGTCCTAACAAAGAGCACGAGGTAGTGGCTGGACCCAGGGTCCAGGCCTCTCACCCCTGGGACCCCCGAGCCTGTCCACTCCCAAAGTCAGGCTGGCTCCACCTGCACTTCGGCCCAGCAGGAGCAGGGGACCTCCAGTTTCCAGAGGGGGGAACGGAGGCTGGGCCAGGAAGAGAAGCATCCAGAAGCTCTGAGGCTGAGCTTCCGGTCAGTGCTTGGACACTCTCCTTCCCAGCCCCCCAGTGGAAGACTTTACATGGTTTGGCTCTTCTGGAAATGCCATCTATAAATACATTGCTTGGTTTCTAAATATAAAATAAGTAATAAATTAGATCTTGGACCAGCCTGAAGACAGCTGGCTAGCTATGTGCCGTGGGACAGGGCCGTTGTCACATGCTGCGCTGCGGTGCGTGGCCCAGTCCGTTCTGACTCCACGGGGTCCTGAGGCCCCACTCGCTGCAGAAGCAGACTGCCCACCTTTCTGCCACGGAGCAGCCGGTGAGTTGGAATCATTGTCTTAACGGAATGCTTAAGTGCTGAGCCACCAGGGCTACTGAGTGTGTCACGTGTCACGTGTCACATGTGTGGGACCACGGCTTGTGTGTCCCTCCAGGTACGGTGGTAGGAGCCGGCTCCTTAAGCACCACACTCACACCGTGCCAGCTGTCCCCACTAGTAGTAGCACAGCGTGTGTGGCTCAGGGCCCTCGTGTCCCCTGGCACAGCTGTCCCTCTTCCCTCATGGGACAGGAGCCGGGCCACCAGCTGTAGGGTGTCTGAAGCCCTTGGCCCAGGTGGGTGGGAGCTGACATCACTTGGCTGGATCTCTGGGGTCTTGCAGGGGCGGTGAAGGGGCTCGGGAGCGATCTTCGAAGAAGGCGAAGTCCAGCCTGGGTTCCTGGCTCTGCAGGTGCTGGGCTATGGTCGGAGGGATGGGGTTGCTCCAAAGGCTGTGGACATGGAGACAGACACTCAGCCCATGCCCCGTCTACAGCTGGGGAGACTGAGGCCTGGGGTGGGGGAGCTGTGTCCGCCGGTCCTGGCAGAGGCAGGAATCAGGTCAGCACAGCTGCCCTAGAGGCCTGGTGTCCCCCACAACCTCCTGCTGGCTTCTCCCACTCTGTCCTAGCCTCCAGACTCCCAAGTCAGACTCCCTGTCATCGCGTTGATGCCGGCTCACTGCGATCCCCTAGGGCAGGGTAGGCCTGCCCCCAGGAGTTTCCAAGACCGCCACCCTGCACAGGAGCAGAAAATCAGCCTTTCTCCCTCGGAGGGCTGGTGATTTCGAACGGCTAACGATTAGGCCCAGCTCATACCCAGAACACCACCATGGTTCCCTGTCTTCTCCCCCAGGAGCGACGGCGCCCCGCCAAGGCCGGGCCCGTGGGACCCCTGGGTGCAAATCATGCTCAAGACTCTTCAGTGCCTCGGCTCAGCAGTGGTCACGATCCACTGCTTCAGATCCGCTAAGATGCTTCACTACATTTACAGACAGCTGTCATAGCTGCGATGTGAATGTCCCTGCCCC